ATTTTTCACCTACTTATATCACCTTTTTTATATTTTTACCTACTTATATCCTACTTATCTCATAATCTAATTCACTTATATCCTACTTATTTCATAATCTAAATCGTTTATTAATATTTTCACCTACTTACCCCCAACCGAACAAGAAATAGGATTTCAAAGCCAACGGAGCCAAAAAAGGTAAGGAAATATTAACCCATTCAGGAAACCAGCCATGGAGTCAATAGAGCGGAATAGCAAGGCAAGCAATTTCCCTTATACCGAGAAAAAATGTAATTGAATAAAAGATAGGAGATGTGTATAAGAGACAGATATATAGCTATATAAAATTGAATCAAAAAAGTTCACATTGAGCATTTCCGAAATTATGAAAAAATGCATGTAAATCGTATGACAAACTACAAATTAAGCGAAAAAGTGAATAAATTTGGAAGATGATCGTCAGAAATTTATCATCCAAAAGCATACTATCGCTAAATAAGTGAATATAATGATTGTTAAATTATTTTTATTTTTGTACTACAAATTAACTTATGATGACAAATTTTTTTCTTTCATTTAATGAAACAAAGGATTGTTACTCTACTCCTGTTTCAACTTAATTGATGTAAGAAACAATAACAAAAATATATTAATTATTATTTCAATCTATAAAAAATTTCTTGGAATGTCATTATTGATCGTGTGATGTAATTAGAAATAATATTTTTATCATTTATTTTAACCTTATTATAATACTAATAATAATAACATGAAAAAATGAAAATTAAAACATTTTTGATGAAGTCAGGCCGTAAAGAACTAAACCATATTTGGAAAGTATAAACCAATTATGGTAGGATAGAATGAACCCGTATATCCTTCCTTTTTGGATAATACCGGTGCCATTACATAATTCTGGCCCGTAGAGTTAATAGTAAATGATTTGTTTCCTATTTATATAATGCTAGGATCCTATTATGTTACAATTATGGCATCAATAATTACTGTAATATGATGACACATTGACACAAGTACTTCGGCATTCTTTTTGCAACTAATAAAACTAATAAATATACAATTTGCCGATCCTAAACATATAAAAGCTGGTTTTGTACGAAAAAAATTGGAAATTTACCTTTTTTACAACCTTGATATAAAAAAAAAAAGAAAAAAACATGGATGGTATCGAAATAGAAGCAGAAAATCGCGTGGATGAAAAAAATTACGTTGATGATTTGGAAAGTGGGAACCATACATATGGAGAAAAAATTGATTATGTAGCTGTTAGCCCAGATGGTTCGATTGTAGCAACGTTCAATCTATGTAAGTTATAATATTATTATGTATCAATTTTATATTAAAAAATATAAAGTTATATTTCTCTAAGCTTATTTCTTTCAGATGGCACTTCCATATCAATTGCAAAAGTAGCAACAAATGACAAGGCAAAAATACACTTTGATATAAATACTTCCAAAAAGCCATCTAATATTCTTGGATGGTCTTTAGCAGTTTCGAATATAATTGATACCGAAAATGATACTTGCTTGATTGCAATTTCTTGTGTAACTAATAAAGACACAAACCCAAAAGAAATAGAGAAAGGTGGTCTTCGAAAATTATTTCAAATTTATATCAAAAAACAATTATCATTCTGGAATTCTCAAATCATCTTAATATTATTATTTATTTTATATTATATTTTTGCTATTTTTAGCACTGATAATTCAGATTTTTTCTTTTACCTATCCTTTATTGTTATTCCCGTTTATATTGCTCTCTTTTATGAATATAACAATACTCGTAAAATTTTAGTAACTGATATTAAACAATTTCGATTATCCCTCACCCCTAGTGAAGGAATGATAAAACTTTTTAAATTTTCATTTAATAATAATAATGATAACAATAATTCAATAATATATCATCTTGGTGGAGTTGTTACTTTTTTAAAAGATTCCTCAAAGGATAGTGCAACTCTTATCTGCATGAACTGTGTAAAGATACAAAAGATTAATATTAATCTAGATAAAAATATTTCTGTATCAAAAGAAGGTACTTATTTATTGCCTGAAAATTTATTTAAAAAACTGGAAAGTTTTGAGTATTTAAAATGCAGTTGGAAATATCTTTTAAAATCTAGATTTCAGAATTATTTAATGGTAGATACAAGCAATCATCAAAAAATAAGCATTGAAATATATGATATTAATAATTTACAATTAGTGAATGTTTTTTATAGACATCGTGAAGAAAATTTTTTTATTACAAATAATAACGAACCTGGAATTTTTGCGATATCAACTGATTCAAGATTATTTGTTTATTCTTATGGTGATAAAATTATTACACTTTATTTAATGGAAAGTGGTCTTGAAGTTGTTTCAAAAATATTTGACAACATTTATAAAATTAAATTTATAGAATTTATTGAAAAAGATAAAAAATTATTCATTATTGAAGAGGATAAAGAACATGATGTGAAATTTCATATTTGGATTATATCAGGATGTTTAAATGATTATTTTTCTATTTCTAAAGATGACATTGGTTTATCAGATAGTAATATTTCTATTCTGTCGAAATATGATGAGCATCATAATACTTTGACAAAGGCAAATGGAAGAGTAATTTTTTATAATAAAGTTGATGAGAAACAGTTCAGTATTGTACACGAGGTATCAATAAAAAGGACAACTTTTGGAGAAAATGACCCCGTGATGACTGATGAGCATGAATATCAATCATGTGATCTAGAACCATGGAATAATAATGAAAAGATTATTCACGGTAGATTTCTTAATAATGACAAAAGATTTCTTCTATTAATTGGTCAAAATAGTATTCAATTATGGAAATCTAAAGCTATAAATTTTATGGATTTTAATAATTTTAAAAATTTTGAAAATTCGAATCTTGTTTATATTTTAATAAGCGATAAAATCAAACCAGAAACCAAAGTTAAATTCTTAATTGAAGATGATATTACTACTGTGATAATTCATGCATGCAAGTCACTTGTTTATCTTTATAATCATAAACATGTAAGAAGTATCGAAAAATATCAAAAGTTTGTTAGTGGAATCACAAATATTATCAAAGATTTTATTAAAAGATATCCTGATAATTGGAAACTTATGGAGGTTCAATACCCTTTAATGTCATACCTTATTTGTTCCCATTCATTTTCTTTAATTAAATATATTCTGTTTGGCGTTAATGGTCAAACCACTGAAAAGTTACATAAACCTCAAAATGATTATGCTTCTTATCCTTATTATAATGATTTGGAATTATGTGATGATTTGGAATTAAATGACATATATTTAAAATCGGCTAACGATTTGACATTAGCTTTAAAATTTCATCAAGGTTAGCATTTTAAGTTCTCTGTTATTTTATTATTAATTAATATTCTAACAAACAGTTTTATTAATAGATCGAGATTCTGTTATGTTAGCATATTTACTGGAATATTATTCTGAAAATTCTATGATTCATATTGGTTGGATGATTAATGTTACAAATATACTTCCAGACTTGTCAAAATTATCTAATCATGATTATTACGGTATATATTTTTATTTTTCATTAAATTATTTATACTTTTTTATTAAAGATGCTAATAATTAACTATAAGGTAATTATATGGATTTATTATTTTATAAACCTTGTTTTGGAGAAATGAAATACAATTTCCCAATTAAAAGATTCCGAGCATTATCAGTGTGCCAGGGTACATTAAAAGTATTTGTACCACTTATTAATCTTATATCAACAAATTCCTCGGACTTCTTTTCATATAATAAAATGAGGTAAAATTTTCTCAATCTGACTCTTATATTAATTCTTTAACTAATACTATATCTTAATATAGAGGGGATATATTACCTGATATTTATATGGTTCCATTTCCAAATTTTACAACTCGTGATACAAAAATTGAAGGAAAATCCAAAAAGAAAGGAATTGTACATTTTTTGAGAAAGACATTATTTCCACCTGGTTATAAGAATTTAGAAGATAAATATCTCAGTCCATTTCTTCAAATTAACAAGAGTAATGAAGCATTTTTTACTATTCCAGCTATAGAAGCAGTTATAAATTCAAGATGGTATCAAGCAATGGCATATTGGATAGGACCTTTAAGTTTATATACTATATTTTTTATTCTATTTGCATCTCTTCCTGTGTTTATTAATAATAAGACTGAAATGTATAAGATATCCGAGATAATCGGATTTGCAATCTTTTATTATATTGGAATATATTTATTAATGATTGAATTTATGCAAATAAGAAAGTATAAAATCAAATATATTACGATATTTAATATTTTTAATTTAAGCAGTATTATTTTGGGTATAATTGTTTTTTCTTTATGTGTTATGTTTTATGCTGGATTTATTGTTGCAATTGGAGAAGATATAAATCTTATTTTAAGATCAATAACTACATTAACACTTTGGATTGAACTGGTATGCTTGATGATATTTTTAAATTTTAATTTAATAATTTTGTATTAATTTATCATTTACTTCCTAAAGCTCTTATGGCTTCGAATATTTTCAGTAATAGCCATAAATATATTTATTTTTGGAAATATTTTAAAAACGATTATACCATTTTTTGCTTTTATGTTTATTCTAATAATTGCATTTGCACATTCATTGTAAATTTTTTCCTTATTTTTATTCTTACATTAAAGCATGTTAAAGAAATTAACTTTTATTTATATTTATAATAGACATATGATGGTACCAATTTCATTGCGCAAAATTGAAGATTATCCTTTTCATACAATATGGGAATCTATACTTTCCATGTACTTTTTGAATTCAATTAGTTTAAGTACTTACAATTATATACCATTAAAATTTTTCTCTTTCATAGCTAATATTATTATAGTTCTTGTTTTAATAAACATGATTATTGCATTAATGAAGTAAGTATTAATAATATCACTTATTAGATACTATGATTGTCATCTATTATAAATATTTATTTAATATTTAAAATTTGTAAAAAAAAAAATTATTAGTGACACATTTAATAAGGCTAGAGAGGATAGTAATCTTGGACTTTTGATGTATAGAACAGAACTAATTGATGATTTTGAAAGACTTGATATTCCCTTTAATAAATTTCAACTTAATGATTCACCATATATTTGTTATCTTCGAGATCCTGACTTAATGAAAAAATGGATGAAAAAATCTCAAGAACTTAGAGAAACAAAATTATATTCATGGTTTAAAGAGAATGTTGATGAAGAAATTATTACTTATGATGGAGTTGACATTATATCTTGGTACGAACTTATTTCAAGCAATGGAGATCTTACATCTGACAATATGATGTCACTTTGGTTCTAGACCTTTTATTTTTTATTATTTTTTTATATTTAGATTATATTTATTTATTTTTCTTTTGATGTTCTTTTTCTTTGATATTATTCATCAATAGTGGTAAAGACTTAGTTAACACAATGTTATTTGATTAATCAATGAAGTAAATGTTTTTATATTGTTCAACTGAATGAATAGCTAGAGTGATCTCTTTATTATTAACTTCGTTTTTTTTTTAATTCTTATAATATTGCCAGATTATCCTATAATCAACGTGTTATATTTTTGTTACACAAAGCATTACATAAGGCGTAGTAAGATCATTAAAAAAAAATTTTATTTGGTTTTACTATACAATAATTTGATAAATACTTCTTTTAAGCCAAAAATATAATAAATATGATTTTGATAATATTGACAATATCCGTTATGGTCCACCCACTTTAATTAATTTTATTATCAATCTTTTTAAAAATAGAAAACTTGAGTCATCACCGTTTTTGGTCTATCAAGATTATTCCAAGCGGGTGATGACATATACCAAGAGGAAACTATTTCACTTCTAATCTGGAGAATTTTCTATGACCCTCTACTAATGAGAATCAATGAAGACAAAACCGTTGGTTAACACTTGACAACAAATTAGCCATCAATGAAAAATACACAAGCCGGTTCAACAACAACATGAATTGAAGATAGCTTGTACGGCTTACACAGATGATACTGCCTGAAATGTCTAGGATCATCAAAATCTCGGGTTCTTTCTACAAACTGAACGATATAAAATTCAACGGCGATGAATCTGAGTTGTTAGTTTGGAACGTGCCAAAGAATCAAAATCTGGGTATATACATAAAAAGTAGAGCGAGTTACGCACATGTCGTTAAAAGAGCTCAATTAGGACATCAAATCGATAGCTAATATATTAAGACATAAGAAAATTACAATGTCTCAAATCACATACATAAACAACAAAGTACTAATGGCTAGATTGGAATATAGAATGAAAACTTCGTGCAATAGTACTACACAATGTAATCATCTTCATAATTGTATCTTGACGCGCTAAAAGAAAAAATGAGGAAAGTCTTTCAGCAAATTATAATATTTTCACACATCAGGGAATCGTAGGATTGGTCACCCTATCACAACACCTAGGAAATGCGCAATTCGCAGAATCATCATTAGGATTAACTCTAAAGATTGGGATGGCATCAACACACGAATATCTCTCCGCAAATCCAGTTTTGAGAAATATTAACGGGATGCATACCTACAATGAATCCAACACAATTGCTGTAGATCACAAATTTAACTTCAACGTGCTTAAAGATATGAAAGATCAATTATTCAATTTTGAAGCTATAGAAATCTCTGATTGGAAACTCAACATGGAAGGCCCATCGATTATGGATTTACTACAACAACAGGTTGACGTAACGAAACCGAACCATATAATAGTGGACCAAGATAGGAAAAAAGCAATAGATAACTTTATTAATAGACCGGAGGCCGTACCTGAACCTCATTTTTTTGAAACAATTAGTGTACGAACAACTAAGGAAACAGTTTGCTAACATAGGTTCAAATCAAACACTCGAAAACCTTTCTCTAAAAGGACCTAGACCTCTATTCTATAGATACATAGAAAAACTAATATGAGAATCAAGCTGTACCACAGATCGACGTATCCTGCCATCACACATCCATACACCAACGAAAAGATTCTCTCCATAAAACCTACACACCCTTCCATTGACGGATGCAATAAAGAATGGGTGATAATAAGATCTGATGGAACTATTCGATATGGAAAAATATTGAAAAAGATATCCTTACGATGCTTCACATATCAGCATTGAAACAAATTGGATGGCTCAGATTTACTTGTCAAATGTACAGGATGTGATAATTCCTCAAATGGCAATAATACGAACAGTGGGACTTGCATCAAAAGAGCTCTGCATAGTAAAGCTACAGTCATTAGAGTAGAAATTTTAATTCGTACCATTAGCGGCGCCTCGTACAAAATCATCACTTCAACAGAATTAGTAAAAACTTGCATTTTGATCTCACTTTCGGCCCAGAATAATGAGAATACGCTTATTTCAGTAGATATCCCAATATTAGATCATAACTTAATTTCAAGGTTGTTTAATTCATCAGAGTTGGTGCAAAATTTAATTTATATCTGATAACGAGGTTATAATGGGTGCCGGATGGATTATCAAACATCAGGAAATTAGATTCTCATGTGGGATGAAACATCACCCGTCCTCTACACGTCCAGAATTGCTAGCAATCATGACTGCCCTTTCAGCAATTCCATATAAGAGAGCATAGCGGACATCCCTATTTTATCACAATACTGACTGATCATTTGTCGATCATTTGCTGATCATTTATTCAATTATCACATAATATAAATACCGTTGCTAAAAAAATTTACATAATAATATATGCTCAAATTTCACAAATAACTTAAATTTAGTTTTAATTTATTGTGTATTAAATTTTATTAGCTTTTATTATTATTTGGCATATATTTATTCATTTTACGAAATTATTCACTAATTATGTTACTAATAAAAAACCTGCATTATGAATCAGATCACTGCATTATTTTTTTTATAGATTCTACATAATATAAAGAATATTTGTGCAAATTCTTAAGTTTCGCACTCGCAAATTCATCTTCGCACTTCAATTTTTGTCTGATGATCGGCAATAATTAGTGAATTATCATATACAAATAATATATTTATGATATTATTAAAAATTGTGCTAATAATTACATAATTAAAGTCATATGATAATTTAGTGTTTTTACTTAGATTTCCATTATTTTTTTGCCACATTATTTGAAAAATATTTGTGATTTTGCAATAAGTTTTTAAAATCTGGAATTAGTGATCAGCAAATGATCGGCAAGGTGATATGAGCATGTCCGCTATGCTATATAAGAGTAATATTACAATACATACAGAGAGTCAGGCGGCTATAGATGGTATTAAGTATATCATACAACCACATAATCGAATGGGTAGAAGCTTCATGAAACTTAATAATTACATCCCGCTATTCACTATTTACGACCTTAAAACAACGAAAAATTTGATCAACATCGTTAAAGTCAAAGGACATTCAGGTTGTCGATGGAATGATGCAGCTGATACTATCGCGAAGCAAGGAAAAGATATAGCTAGTATAGATAATAATAGAATTATAGATTTAAAATATTTATGTAGTTTTAGTTTCCTTTTAATTTTTTACCACTATGGAATAACATTATTATAGATAAAAACATTAGAAATTTACTAGATTTGTCTCATATTCGCTTGAAGAAGTAACGTGGACTTTTAAGTCTTTTAACAAATGTTAGTCGAATTATTTCGAAGATGGGCAGAGGGTTCTGGATAGAACTGGAACTCTTTCTGGCAATATTTAAACAGCTTCAATAGACACCGGTGCGATACCTTCGCCACTAACGATCATTTAATTCATTTTATCAAATGCTCGAAAAATCTTTTACCAACGATTGATAATCTTAGGATTCGCAACGAAAACTATGATCAAGTTAAATGTCTGCAATGTTCACTTGAAGACGAAAACATTACGCATCTTGTGACGTGTCCAGGTTCGGAATCAGGATTCAAACAAATAGAAAGAGAAGTTACCAACAAAGTCCTCAAATACATCAAAAAATTGAATCCTAAAGACATTACACATTTAGGACCCAGAAATATATATAAAAGGGTCAGATTTGAATTTGCGTATTTTGAACTAAAAAAATCATGAGAATCTTTCCTTTTTTAGATAATTTTTGATAATGGCAGTCAGAACTTTATTTCCTATTATAGTAACCGACTGACATTATCATAATTCCGGCCCTGAAAAAATGCGTACGGCTAATAATAAAAAAATTTTTTTCATCACCTGACCCTATATATATATATCTGGGTCCTACACATTTTACTAAACTCGAAAAAATCATCTTCCAAGACATGCAACCATTTGGAATTAACTTGCGGATTAATTTCCAATACTATAGTCACGAAAATGCGAAAATTAACTTCTAGAAAACTTTCAATCTTATTGCAGGAAAGGTCATTAAACATTTCCATTGATCTTTCAAGAAACGTGTTTGGAAAGTTCGCTGCGTCAAGCTCATAGAAGTGGAAAGAAGACTTGGTATCACTAATAAAAAAAGATGATTTCGTCGCGCCAAGAATCTATTAATACATCTTTAGTGAACTATGAATCCTCCCTTGCCAAAAAAGTGAAGTACTGAGAGCAAGCATGGCACGTTGCAAGCACAACATTACACAATATCACTAGTGGATCGAGGCAAACTTGGAAATTGTTAAAATAATTCAACCTTTTGTTCTTATATAATGAAAAATAAAATTTAAAAAGTTTTGAATTCATTTTTCTCAAATTTTTTCCCAAAATGTAAAGTAAAAAAAATTAGTTCTCTTCAAAACTTACATTAATTTGACCTAGCCACATGGGTTTTATTTTTTAAGAACAAAAATTTTTATTATCTGATCACACATCAAGAAATTAAAATTTTGTATCAGTTTACAACTTTACATGTTATAAAAAAATAAATACTATTAGATAAAATAACTACATCCTATTAATAATTTTTAATAGTAAAGTATATATTGATCTAAGCGACTTTATATGTTTTTTGAGTGGTCTGATGCCTATTTGTCACCCCAAAAAATCACGCCCACAAAAACGGAGGTGTGTTTACTTTAAATAATGACATAATTATGACAATCCGTTATCTTTATGATAGGTGAAATATCAAATGAAATTTTATCAAGTAACGTCGTAACGATTTATTATGAATGAATTAATAATTAAAAGTAAATTGAATTAAAAAATTAAAAGCCGATTGAATTAAAGGTAAATTGAATTAAAAGTTAATTTAATTAACAGTTAATTTAATTAAAATTAAAAAGTTAATCAAATGGTTAATTTATGTCGATCTACATGTTAAGATTGTTATGCGGTCGGTTTATTAATTTTATTGTGACAAACTAGCACAACCAGAAAAGATCCTTCTGGATTTGAGTTGGTAGATCAAAGAGTAAGAAATGTATATTCTTTGACATTTCGTTTTATGTACTTGTAGAAATAAATTATGCTTATATAATATAACCTTATGTTTAACGTAGATCATCAATCACATTGGGGAGGGGATACGTATAACAGCCGCTTTAATTTATTGAATTAAAAATAAATTAAAGACATTATTTTTTTTTGAAAAATTATTTTATTTATTTATGTATTAGTTATTATATTCTTTACAATTATTACAATTATTAACCGCTTATTTTTTTTTTTTTTAAGCGGATTTTAAGCGGATTTTGAAAGAAAGTGTTTAGAATTTCTAATTAAAATACACCTAACCAGAGTCAAAAATTAAAAATTAAATAAAAAAAAAAAGATAAAGTGATTAAATACAATTTTACTATATGTCTATTTAAAGTATTCTACATATTTTATGCGCTTGGAGTACGTAAAAAGCTGTCTGGAGATCCATTCTTAAGACCTTCGACGACTCCCTTTGTTGATAAATTTTTAAGTGCCGTTGCCATTTCAGCTGGTGATTTGTTACCATCCTTGGCAATTAGAAGAGCTACAGTACCAGCAACATGTGGGGTGGCTTGAGAGGTGCCGGAAAATACTACACTACCATTATCGTCTTTAAAACTAGCACCTTGAATGTCCCGACCTGGAGCGAAAATGTCAACACATTTTCCAAAGTTTGAGAAATCTGTGATTGCGTCACTATCTTTTTCGGTAGCACCGACCGTGATAGCGCTAGGTTCAGATGCAGGTGATGTATTACAAGCATCCTGACTTTCGTTACCTGCGGCAACAACTACGTGAACACCAGCATCGGTAAGTTGTTTGACAGCATCGTTTACAGCTTTTGATTGAGTACCTCCAAGAGACATGTTGACAACTGAATTCTTATTTTTACTCTTACTGTGGGTTTCTCCTACAAAGTTCAATCCAGCGATAACTCCACTATTTGATCCAGAACCATCAGCGTCCAAAACTCTAACAGCAACTGGTGTGGCTTTTCTTGCTACTCCTAAAGTTTCTCCACATGAAATGCTAGCAACATGGGTACCATGACCATTTTCATCTTCTTCATTGCATCCATCACAGAAAGATCCTCCGAATTTGGCACGACCACCGAATTCTTCATGTGTAATTCGAATACCAGTATCGACAACAAAAACGTTTACGTCTTCTCCAGCAGAATCGGGGAAAGTATATTTTCCATCTATAGGTCGTTTAGCTTGATCAATACGATCAATGTTGAAAGTTGGTTTATTGTCTACTGCACGTCTAGTAAGTTGAGATGGTATTACATATTGTGTCTTAACAATACCATCTTCTTCAATATAATCAACATCATCCATTTTTTCAAGTTCCTTTGCAAATTGTAGTGTCATTTCTCCAGTAAGTCCAAAAAGATTAACAATTCCGAAACTAGCGAAAGTGGGTTTTCCTTTATTGCTAAGAGATTTAATTTTTTCGAAACTATCAATTT